CCAAAGAGTTACAGAGAGATATCAGACAATGACTAAAGTGTTCACTTGATGGCTAAATATAAATAGATGAACAATGACTTTAGCAGAAGAAACAGTATTTTTTTCTTACCATTTTTCCTGTAAAAGCAGATCTCTCCCTGATATTCCTGCTGACTCTCCAGAGCTTTGTGCACCTGCTCCATTACACCGTCACTGGTCTCTGCCCCATGAAGGAATGTGCAGGTGCAGGTTTTTTGCATGACCTCCGTCCGAACAAAACCAGTCAGCTCACAAAAACCATCTGAACAATAGACGATCCGGTAATCGTATCGACCCCTGGCATTTCCCAGAAGAAAGTTGCTGTCTGTGAAAAAGTCAAAAAGACAAATAGCAGAGATTAGAGGTTGAAAAACAACATTAGAGCTCAACAGAAAGAGGAATTATTTCACCGATTCCCTCTTTTAAAGCAGCAGCACAAATACTGCCAGACAATTTTGTTTGGAAAAATATCACTGCTAAGACTAGATATCTGCAAGCTGCTCCTAGCTTTATGTTAGGGCAAGCAACTGAACAGCTTGCCATCACAGGAAGACAGAAAAGTAGTCATTTAAAGATCTCATGCAGAAAACACAAAGGATGGATTCTTGTAAGTCTTTGAATTTTTTTTTCTCCATTCATACATAACTGTCTTTATTGTGCGATGGCAAATGTAGAATGATGTAGGAATTTATTGTACTTCTCCTGACTGATACCTTTGTACAATAAGATTCTGTAAGTTACTGCTCTAGAAGCCACTAATGCAAAGTCTGAACTCAAGAAGATTACATTTTCCTATTTAATTAAATATATTATTCAAAAAAACAATATCAGAATAATAATAGTATCAGTATTAATTTTCACTACTTTTTAATTGTTATGCCAAAGATTGCTTTTCTCTACAGCCTAACAATGCGCTAGAGAAGCTTGTACTGAAATGTTTGCAAGAGCAATTTTGTACTGATTTAATACACAAGCTGGTGAGTAATATTTGAAAAGCATTATGGAAGAAATTATTATTGGTAATCTGTTCTTAATTCAATAAAGCACACTAATAGGTACATGTCTCCTTTCTATTTCTGTACAAATAATGAGTAAGACGTCCGTTTTCAGGTGAGGCTTTGAATATAAGCAAACAGCCTTTTAAAACGTTCTTTGTTTGCTGAAGAAAACTTTTAAACAGTAATGTAGCTCCAAGGACAGCATGGAACACCTGCTGGCTTGAATGTCAGAGAGGAGATTTGTATTCTCCTGCTGAAAACAAAGCAAACAGTTCATTCATCATTCAGTGGCATAATTGTATATGTTTATCTAAGAAATAATACATTAAGGAAGGTAAAAATCTTTCACATATTTCTAATTGGCTGTTCCGTTCAGCGCGCTTGCCTGATTCAATTTGCGTCCCAGAACTAAATTCTTGTAAAACTGCACAACTGTCATAAGTTTTCCTTCTCTTCTTGCTCAGAAATCCCCATAGCAACACAAAACCAGAAAGGTCTTTAATTAGGTTTATGACTTCATCTCCACATACTTTAGTGAAAACATCTACACATCTAGCAGCATGCATCCTTTGCATTATTTTACTGTGGAAAAGTAACTTCAAAAACTGTTAATTTGTAATTATCTTCAAATTACTCCTTTGCCTACAGTCAGAAATTGAAAGATTCTTTATATTTTCATTGGTCATGATTAAATAAAAAAAAATAAATAAAAAAAAAATTTATATATATATATATATATAAGGGCAGTTTAATCTCTTTGATTAAACTGCCCTTTTCCCCTCTGCTGATCAGATTAATTAATAATGTTGACAGCAAAAATGCATAACAGAAATCTGAGTTGCGTTGAGTTGTGTTCAACAAAGAGCCTTTCCAATTCTTTAAAATGACGATCTAGGAACGCACCTCGCGTGTTAACCACTGGCACCAGCCCCTGCAGTCCAGCAAGGATTAAGGTGTAAAATTATGAAATACAGACTCAGGTCAGGAAAGAGTGTCCATGAAGAGTCCGATATCAATGACAGAAGCTGAAAAAGTTAATCTAAACATCAGCTCTGACTCTACTGAGTGGCTGTTTTCTACATTTTGAGGTGGTGGGTGATCAGATTAATAATTTAGGTGAGTTTCCAGCTTTCAAAAAGGTTCACTGAGCAAGACCTCAGTTGATATCTGATAAGCTCCCCACCACTACATAATTCATTTTAATCAATCTCCCTGGTTTAATAACAGGATCATGTGGATAGTGTCTCCATTCCTGTTTGCTATGAGTTTTCAATGGCCGCTGCTCACGTTTCAGTCAAGACAAGTTCAAGACGATTCATGGACTTAGTGGTGTTTGTTGCTGAAGCTCTATCTAATCTAATGAACTGACAGCTGATGCTGAAAACTGACTGTCCCCTTGAAGGGTCACTGTCACAAATTTCTGTTGGTTGGACAAATGCAAGATTATTATGTTACTTGATGGAGATTAACAGACTTTGTTCAGTCAATCTAAAACAAAGCCTCTAATGGTGAAGGATCTGTATGAAGAAACCACCGTGTTGAATCATGTGAGCCATAAAATGGGAAATGTTCATTATTTCATCCATTTTCCTGAAATTTAACTTGTTAGATTGTGCTGCTGCCACTTATCATGAATCTAGGAGACTTTTAATATGTTATCCTGGCTATATATGTCATGATCCGTAGTTTTCTGTCTTTATTTTTGAGTTATTTCTGTGTTTATTGTTACCCTGTTCCCTGTGAGTCTCTGTCTCTGCGTCTTCCCCGTTGATTGTTTCCCAGGTGTGTCTCGTTCCTTTGATTATCCCTGTGTGTATCTAAACCCACCTGTTTGTGTTCTTCGTCGGATCCTTGTCGTGTGATGCCTGTTTCTCTGTGCTGTTCTCCGTTGTTCTGTGCTTTTGATTATTGTCATTAAACTCATCATTATCATCACCTTACCTGGGTCACAGCGTCACTCCTCACCACTACCGCAACCATTTTATGACAATATAAAGGTTTATATTGATATTAAGATTGAATTACCTAACCCAAAAATAAATTAATAAATATCTTTTTAGCGAGTACTGCATGTTCTTTTTTATGTTGGCCTTTTGTTTCTTAAGCATTCCTGAAGTGTGAAAGGATACTTATTTTTATCCAGGTGGAAACAACCACAGCATTTTTCACTGATTAAGTTAATGACTGTGGAATTTTTTCATTTTTTTTTTACAGATTTATCCAAAATAAATCCTTAAAACATAGTTTCACATTTATGTTATTGGTTTAAAAATAAAGGATTTCACCAATAACAATACACATTTTGTATGTTAATGTGCTTCACAAACAAGTATTTCTGAAATACTCAGTTCTGCTCTACGCGGAACTGAGTATTTTGTCCCACTAAACTGATTTGGGCTATCAAATGAGCCACTGCGCTATTCTTGATCAGTGTTTGATGAAAAAAAAAAAAAAAAAGGTAAAACATCTTTTTTAAAGTACTTACGAGTTCCATCGAAGTGGTTTGCAATGCTGTCCAAAAAGGTATTCTGTGGAGCAAGGAGGCCCTTCATCACAGGCATCTTTAGCTTTTAAAAGGAGACTTTCAGCTTCTCGTAGTTTGTCACTAATCCATAAAACCTGAAATAAAATCAAAGTGCTGCGCCTTGGTATAAAGTTCTTTTGTTGGATGCAGAAATCAAAAGCAGAGATTTTCAGATAAGCCTGATCTGTTTTGAAAAGATGAGGATAGTTGCTGTTCTCCCAAAGGTTTTCTCCCAGAACTGAATCAGGATTTTTCGGGTTCAGCTGCACATTGCTCAGTGTTGTCATATCCTCAACTGTTCTGTCAGTCTCAGGTCCACAAAGCATAGTTCCTGCCATCTCTGAGTCCCCTCCCATTATGGGAGCCTCAGTCATTTCTCCACTCCACACACCGTGAGCTCAATGCACATCTCTTTCCTTCTCTAAAAAAAAAAAAAAACCTTGTCTCCTCCTACTTATCTTTCCTCATAGGAGTTAACAGAAATTAGCTTCATTCTCCTTATCTTCCAGCTTTCTCACCTTTACATTGATTCCTATTACAAGCTCCTCACTGAGGTGTAAAGAGAGACTTCTCAATGCTTTTCTCTTCAGCTCATCAAATAATTGTACTTGTGCAGCGTAAAACCACTAGGTCAGAGCTCCATCTCGAGCTGCTGGTTACTGTGGATACTCTGAAACACAGAAAGTAATGAGACTTTTTCTGAGTCGCCACAGGGAATCTTTCCTCCCATGTATTTGACCAGATAGGCTTGCAAAATTAAAGAAAAAAAAAAAAAGCAGTCAGTTCACTTTCTGTAACAGAAATAAATGTTTACAGCTAAAATAATTCATTTTCAGCTAGTTGAAGGATTCTGCAGTCTCTATTACAATTTCTATGGCACACCCACGCAACGCACAGAAAAGCATGGAAACACAGTAGAGTCTATAAGTACATGAACACAGGGAACATCCTTGAGAACATTTTTGTAAAAAACTACAGTCTGGCCTACAGTTTCTATGAAATCTACTCTGAAACATGTCTTTGGCCACTACACCTCTGGTTTTATTGTTCCTTTCCTTTTATAACCCCATGTTGTTTAATATAGTCTTTAATGTGTTGTTCCTCTTCTTAATCTTCACTCTCCGTCTTTTATATGATCCACAGGAGAAACAAGAGAAAAACAACCTTCTTCTGCAAGGATGAGACATAATTTTAAAAATAAATAAATAAAGATTTCCTGGTACACTCAAAATCATAGTTTAGTGAATGATAAATAGCCATTTTCTATCAGACTGAATCGTATAAGTGACTCTTGTGAACCAACATATTGACAAGTTCTTTTTTGTTTTCAATACTTTATTAAAGACGTCATCAGCTTAAACTTCGAATTACGTCACCACAAATTTCTTAATCTCTATGACTTTTTTTTTCTCGAAAAGATACATTTTAAAGAAAATCATTTGATTGTTATCCCTTTTTTTATATATATAGATGTCATTTTCTATAAACATTTTATGGACATTGTTTACACAGGCTAAAGTGTTACAATTGTGTTTTTTTTTTATTTTTGACTCTCTGCAGTCCTCTTCCCCATAGTCAGTATCCCGGCTGCTTGGTTCTTGCGGCCATGAAGAAGCTGATGGAGTCTGCTCTGCAAATGCAGCTCATCCTCGTTCCGTTTACCCAGGGTGAGGATCCCAGCGGCTGCATCTCCTGCGATGGTTCCTCCTGTGCTCTTGTTGCCAGAACGACACAGCAGGACCTGCAGGCGACAGGACCGCGCTGGCTGTCTGCAGCACTCAGACACACTCTGCGCGCTACATCCCAGCTGAGCAAGCAGCAGTATCAACATGAACGCCAGAGTCTTCTGTTAGGGGAAGAAAAGTAGCTTTGGAATGCATTTGTTCAGATAAACATGTCGCTCATACTGAGCATCAATAAGTTTTGTTTAAAATGTTCAGATACTGGTACAGACTGAACAAGAAAATGTTCATTAGTCAGTGTTTTCATCAATTGATGGCATAAGACCACCGCAATGCTGTTTTAGTTTGGGCAATATGACTATGAAATTAGATAACAATAAAACACCACTCTGAGCTGCCGTGTCTCCCAATAACCAGCTGATGAACATAAATACTGTAGTGAATATCAAGTCATGGATGGAAGAGTAGCTAAATTTAAGTTTTACTTATTGGCACAAGCCTTCGGAGAGAGAAACTCACATCTCAAACTTGCAGTTCGGCAATGAATTTTTCACACCAAGTCAAAAACCATTAAAAATTAAACAAAAAAATCTATCTTATCATCTAAAGATCAATCCAAGAGTTCAGCAATCTCTGCTTTAGTTCAAGAGAGATTTTTTTTTTTTTTTTTTTACAACTGCAGTGCTCTCTGTTTTCTGAATATTCCAAGAAAAGCATAGCTCAGCTGCAGGTTTAACCAAATTCATCTGTGAACATGAAGATTTTAAAGATGCTAAACTACTAAATATGAATTTTTAGAATTGATACTGAAGTTTTATTTTATTGCTACTAATGGCCAGATTGTATCACGTTTATGATTTAATATTCATTATCTGATAGATTTTACTTTTTATTTCTGGATTTAATCATGAATAAAATGCCACTTTGAAATGAAGTTATTCGTCTATAAGAGATCTGATGAAGAAATAATAATAATAATACAAAAAAAAAAAAAAAACACAAATTAGAAGAATCTGCATTGTCACTTGACAAGAGGACTGACTCGCTGTTAAATAATTTCTTCACATTCAGTGGTCATGTTTAAGGTGCTCCACATGAACTAAAGTCTGAATTCTTCAGCGCATCAACATGTAATCACAAAACTTTGTACAAAGGCTTACCCTGAAAGGTCTTACCCTGTTAGGTGTGTCCATCCCAGCAGTGTTGTGGAAGTTGGTGGTGTACCATGTCATCTTCACTCTGGTGTGATGGGGTTATAATCTGACCTTCTTATGTCCCACAGGAGGAAGTCTCTTTTATATTATTCTACTGTGTCCACATCGTCAGTGCTTTGGGCGTCATTCAGGCCAGCCACAGACAAAAAAAAAAAAACAACCCACAAATCTTTTATTTCTGCTCATTTAAAGTTTGCTGCCACGCTCGTGACTGTTAATTAGAGCCCTATTAGAGATCATCTCCACAGAGATTTGATGAACTACAGGTATGCCTTTGTGACTGCATAGGGGGGTTTATTAACACATGCCATTACTATGAGCAGGCAAAGACGGAAACTGTTGTGTCCAGTAAAGCAAAAAAAAAAAAAATAAATAAATAAATAAATAAAAAGATACAACACAAATACATAAGGAAACTAACAAGCTTTGAAAGGGCATGCTAATGAGCATAGCTCTGTGTGCTGTGATTTCTCATACTAAAGGTCTATAGTGACACATCAAAAGTCTTTGTATTTTTTTTGCTGCTTCAAAGAGCATCCTCTTTCTTAACTAAAAAAAATCCAAACATCCAAAAGTTTAGGTGGGGCCATCTAAGGGTCTATATAAAGGAGAAACTAATTCTTAGCTTAACAATCAACATACAAATTTCATGTCAAAACCTCAGGACAACAACTTGAAAGCAGCCTCTCATTTGTACATCCATTTAGCTAATGTTTATTGCCATCTTATGGACAACAGGAAGCACTGCTTTAAACACACAAACCCTTTCATGGAAGAAGAAGAATAGGTTTGAATCAATGAGAACATAATTTTAGGTCAGGACTATTAACGTTGCATCATAGTGCATCAGAAATAATCAATGAAGCATTTGGGCATTGATTACATTAGATTGTGTTCAGCATAGTCATCTTCATATAATTCCAACATATGATTGTTGGAATTATATGTTTAAGTAATTATCCAAAATATATATCACTGTGTTGAAGAAAATAAATATATTTCTAGGTGTGTGTAACTTTGTTAATTTGGCAACTGTTGCTTTTATGGTCTTATGGTACAGACCAGGATATTACTGTTCTGATCCGCAAAAATAAATTGAACAACTGTCTCTTTATTTGCAGCTGAGAGTTTAAACCCGATCCCAGATTTTGATAATCATTGTCTCTTTGTTGATTCAAATGAATCTCATATTAATAATTGCTTAGAGATTGACCTTAAGGTAGTGGAAATCGGAAGCTGTTCCTACAATTCAAGGAATGGCTCTCAGAATTGCCTCGGGTATTAGACATGGAGAGACGGACAAAATCTTTTCGGAATATCCGGACGTCACTTCTGGACCTATGAGCACAACAAGATGGAAATCCCTCTTGATATTTAACCTCACAAATAGTCATCTGCCTTGTTCTCCTCAATTTATATTGAGATATTGGTAAGAGTGATGCATCTGTGCTCATATATTTCTCACAAAGCTGAATATGCCCAGCTTTGTGCTTTTTGTTGCTATATTTGTTTGTTTGAGGTTTACCTGTATTAGTGTGGTTCTTTGTACTTTTTTAAAGAAAAAATCTGAATAGACAAATTACAATTTAAAAAGACCCCAAACCAACAAACAAACCAAAGTACTTCTTCAGCCATCTTTAGAGAAGTGTTGTAGAGGGCGGTTCAAACAACAGTGTCTATGCATATTTAGAAAAAAAAAAAATATGGGCAAATTAAGAACAATTTCTTAAACCCAGTTTATGTGGGCAAAATAGAAATATTTACCATAATATAAATACTTCAGTATGAAAGCATGTCGAAAATGTTTAACATATTTTGTTATATTAACTAAACTTTTTTTTTTTTATAGTGTATCTACGTCTCACTAGGTAGAAATGAACAAGAGGAGACAGGATAACCAATGAAGCCAGCTTTAATGGGCAACTCAAAGGAGCTCTTACAGTTTTGCACACTCTCACTGTCATGTCGTCATTTACCCCTTGTGTTGTGGCACTAACCCGTGACCCGTCATTTCAGTCCCAAACGCACTGGTTCTCTTGATCTGATCCACAGAACAACAGGTGTCAAAGCACTGTACATGTGGAAGTAATGTTAAAAAAAAAGACTCTGAATCTCAATAAAACTTACAACAAGAAGAATATCAATCAATAATGTCTGAGAATTATAGCAATATATGTTCCCTTCATACATTTTACACAGAGTTTACATCTATATAGTCACTGTGTTATTCCACAGACAGCAGTACCATGGTGATTTTGACCTTTCACTTCTAAAAGGGAGGGTCAAATATTCCAGTTGTGACTGAATGCTGAGCTCCACCACTGAAGGATGTGGGTTAGCTCCACCCTGGGGACCAAAACATCAACTTACATAACATCATACGCAGAGCCCCTGGGTAGGAGACAAGAAAAATCCTATGGTGAGTATCCCAAGAATGAACTCAAACCTGAACACACACAAACCCAAGATGGAGGTTGACAGCAGCTTAAAAAAAAAAAAAAGCATAAATAAATGAACACTGAACAAATGCAGAATTTTTTTCTCGATACTAACTCTAATGCTCCCTGGTTTGTGCTAAAAAGGTCATTTGTGACTCCTACAGTGCCCAGCCTAGCAGAGCTGCTCTAATTTGTGCATTGAAAATGAAATCTGCACCCTCATTACGGGAAAGGAGCGAGGGTTTGAGCTGAGCATTACAACTAAAACATTGGGAGAGAAGTGTGAATGTGACCAAATAAAAGCTCAAAGACGTGGTAAAGTGCCTCTGAAATGGAAAAAAAAGAAAGAAAAGGCATATTTGTGACGTAAAACACTGATGTGAGGTAAAGCCTGCACCCACAGAGCCAGTGTACATTGTGGATTTGCATGTAACTAGCAATGCCCAGAGAGAGAAAGGGATATCTTTGTCATCAATTTGCCTTTAATGTACTTTCCTAACTAGAAACACGAGCCTGAAATATTCCTCTCATCATCCCTTGCTTCTCCCTCCTTTTTATTTTTTTATATTTTATTTTATTTACTTCTTGCAAGATAGAAGACAAAGACATTTTTAATTTCTTGCTGGAATGGATAATGCTCAAAATTGAGAGAACAAGCATCCTGTTCAGAAATGTATGACTGGACTGTTACATCTGTCTTCATCCGTATTTTCAGACTTGTGTTTCGCTTCGAACACGGTGACTCCTCTTCACCGTCATCACCTCTTTAGGTCTCTCTGCGACATCCTTTACCTCGCCTTCCTTATTAGCCTCCTGTTTTCCTTCAACATCCTTCTGCTTCTCTATCTCTTTGTCTCTCTTTGGCTGGGACTCGCTGTGGGCGCAGGCTGCTAGTCAGCAGGGTCCTGCAGGACCGTCGCTGACCATCTCTTTCTCTCTCTCCGGGATGACATCGAGAGGTCCTGCTGCCCTCTGCTGCTGGCTTTGTGACTGGAGTTGATTTGTGGGTAAGGGTGGAGGATGTGGGTAGGCCGGCGGTTTTAAAACAGTTTGGATGGGAGGGAAAGGAAACGACTGGGAATGCAGCTGGGAGTATTGCTGTTGATGGGTGTGGAGGTACGACTGGGGTGACGTCTGGGGCTGCAGAGGAACGCGGGGTGGGTGGAGCAGCAGAGACTGTGGGTGGAGCTTGGTCGGAGGCTGTTGCTGTACTTGTGGTGGCTGCTGAAGAGGATGGTGAGGAAGCTGCGGGGAAGCCGCTCCGTTTTTACTGAGGCCGCAGGACTGAGCTGCACAGTGGATCTGGCGCAAAGTGTCCAGTGCCTCACTTTTTGCATGCTTCAGCAGGTCTGCCTGGCCCTGAGGTTAAGAAAAAAAGAGATAAAAAAAGAGACGTAAATATTGCGATAATGTCCAGTTTTGATGAGGCATAAAGCACTGGAAGTCCCCAAAACACCACAATTCAATTATTAAGTATTTGATTATAAAATTATGTTTCTAAATCAATCAGTAAAACATTAATTGTAGTCATCAAGTATATAATGAATAAAAATGTTGTCAATAAACATGTATTCTGAAAAAGGCAACTATATTACTCCCATATTTATTGTATGTGTATCTTCTCAAACTTCCTGCATCTATTTTGTGTATCAGTCTAACACGGACATCAATGAATGATGAGTTCTTGTTAATATAATTTGTCTGAAATTGACTTGCTACACAGTTCAACCAATCAAATACTGTGACATTTTAAATAATCCTTTGATGCACACCATGCAAGAAATAATTAACTACTGGAATTTTAATTATTTAGTTTCACATTCTAAATTTATGTCTGCATTTAATTACTTGGAACACTTAAATAATTATTAAATGCATTTAATCATTTATTTATTAATTTTATTTCCTATTTAATAAGAAAATATATCAAGAAAATATATGTTGTGGAACATTTGGCATTCAATAAAACAACTCCTTTGAAATACTTCGTGCATATTAACTGCAGTCAGTTTGCATTCATTTTATTGTTTTTCCTTTTCCAACACTTTTTTTATTCTCTGAAGATTTCTCTTTTTTGCCTGCGTTAAACCAAAACAGCCGGAAGGGGGCAGTACAAACTTACTGAAACGCGGTTGGATGTTTGCCAGCAGTTTGTACAGCTCCTCTGCTGGTGAACTGTGCTGTCATATGGTGATAATGTTACCACTATGTTTCTGCTCTTTATTCGAGCACCCCAGAGATGAATGCATGCCATATATGGAGGAAATGGCCAGAACAGCCTTTCTGTGTTCACAGCACTGTCAAGAAAATCGGGGCCAAGGCCATTTCCAGCCCGCTTCCCTAAGCTAGCTGTCTTTGCTACATGAAAATACGGCGGCGTTATTTCTATACAGAAGAGGTACATGTATAACAGAAATATTCACATGTGAGAAAAAGAAAAAATAAGAAAAGGGTCATTATTGAATCATCACTATTTTTCTAGGTAGGTTGTTTTCTTCAGTTTGCTCACCCGAAAATGAGCGTCAAATTTGGCATTCTGCAAATATTATATTGCCCACTCTGACATGCTTTTGGACTGACATCTCACCGAAGTGACACGTGTTAACCTATCGTACGCCACAGTGAAGGGCAAATGTTAAAAGAATGCAGTGCACATGGAAGTCTGACATATTGCAGAGGGAGTAAAGGTGCTGCCCTCCGCCTAACGGTCAACATTCAGCTCCCAGGTGATGCTGATGCTCTCCAAGTGGCCTTTTACCCAAGACATTCCAGCACAAAAACCAGGAGAATGAATAACTCATATGTTTAAAAAAGAAAAAAAAAAAAAATTATGTAACTCATGACTCACCAGCTATGAAACAAGACAGCGAAAAGCTGGTCGTGCGCTGCAACAACCAAATCAGAATTGCACTTCTAGGTGATGCGTTCACCCCAACAGTTGACCCAAAGCTGTTCACAGGGAGGGCTAAAATAAAACAGGGGTAGTCACCGATTCCCACACAATGCCCTTATTGAATACCAGTCCAATATTCTTGTCTGATGCACAATTCATTTGAAATAACCTGAACTTGCTGTATATTATTTATAAATTGTAAGGCAGACATTGGTTCGCTGAACGTGATGAAAATATCTGATTTAACAAAAAGGGGTCGAAACTACAATGGCTGCAATCTGAACTAGTTTTGTGGAGTTCATTAGATGTGTATTCATTGGACACATTTTAATTACAGCACATATTTCCGTGAGTTCTTTTTTTAAAGGAGCCTTTTATTCTATTTAAGAAGAACTTAACATTCATTTCAAAGCCGCCCTTTCTGTCTCTCTGCTTCTGCTTTTCTTTTGACAGAGGTACAATGAGTGACAGAAATGTGCAAAAAACATCATCCACCATGACAGCTCTGATCTTTCTGTCACTGTCAAAGTACAGTCGAAGTGGGAGTTTGGGAAGCTGAGAAAGAAAGACAGGACACCTCTTTTTTTTCCCACTCAACTGCCTATTTCTCCGTCCCATGCTTCTACCAGCTAGCACTTTCCAGCCTGCTGAGAATCTGAAAAAGGTTGAGGGGTGAAATAACTAGGCATGACTGCCAGCCTTGACAAACAGGCGCTAGGCTCTCACCAAATGTTCAGTATGAGAGAGAGATTATAGATGAAGGAAGGGAGGAAGAGGAGGCGGAGCTATGCGGATGCCAAGATGCCTTTCAGTTGAGAGCATGGCTCATCGATGAAACGAGGATGAGGAAGCTGAGAAACAGGGAAGTGGGCAACTTAAAGGGCAAGTACAAATGAGTGGAGATGGATGGGATAGTTAGATAGATGTAGATGGAACAGGGTGAGAGATGTTGGAGGGATTCAACAACAAGACCTTCTGATACTGTTATTTTAAATCTTTACAAATTTGGAGAATGACTAAACCTGTAAGACTCTACATTTTGTATGAGATGAGTAGAACTTGTTGCCTCTCAGCATCCTGTTTTTCTTTGTGCGTTCCGTGATGCATCAGATTTATCTTCACAAACCACAATGTGCAAAATCATGAAAACCTGAAACCATGAGCATCGCCTCCTGAAGCCTTCCCTACTTCAATGAATGTTTTTTTTTTTTTTTTATGACTGTAAACTGCAAGAAAAGTCAAAAAGCAGGTCAAACTGACACACTATTCTGCCATAGTAGCAGTAATAACATAAGGAGGTGAAACACACACACACATGCACACACACACAAACAAAAAAAAAAAACCTTTAGAGAGAAACCATTAGAGCGGGAAGTAGTTGGCTGCTATAGCAACTAACCCCGGAAAACACATTACTTAAAAAAAAAAAAATAAGACAGATGCTTGAAAAATGTTGGCATTATAGAGGTGGGTAGAAATATAAATAACACAAATCAAAGCAAATTTCCACTTGGTTCCTACGGTACTTAAGACTGTAGCACAGCTATCTGGTACAAGAAATTAGAAAAATAACAGTTCAAGATTTTATTCTTGAATATTGTCAGATATCAAATATTGATGATTACTGTGGTGAGTATGTTTTATAGTTTTAATACTGGCATTGCTGAGGACATTGTTTAGTTACTCGTGCGTAATAACTTTAAATAAAGCATTTCCTATGTGTGGGAAAACTACAGCATAGCAACTCTGCTTCAACTAAACAAAAGTTGACAGCGCCATATTCGAAAAAAGCCCCACATTATGATGTTACCACTTCCAAACTTCACTATTTTGAGACTGTTGTTGTCCAAATGGCTCAGTTGAGACTGAGCCATTTGGACATCAGGGTTTGATATATATATGTATATATGTTTAGCCTGGATAGGTTTTTACTGACATATGGTGGAGCTTTCACGTAAACTGCACCTCTAAAAATATATTTGCTTAGAAAATGAGTGATGTGTGCAGTACTTCCTTCACACACTTGGAGATAAGAACAGTAACATCGTTAGCTCCAGCTACAGAAGAGAAGAGGAAATACAAGCAACGCGGCTAAAGGCGTTCCACCTATTTGCTACTAATATTAGAACTGTAGCAGAGCTAACCGCCACATGGGGTTTACTAAGTAGCAATTTAGATTTGGTCACTGATTTTTTTTTTTTTTTTTTGTCTGGGTGCCAACCACTAAAACATTTGTGGTGGGTGTGTGTGGTAATTTCTCGGATCATCCAGCGCTTAGTGCACACTGAAACCCACTGTCAGGGGTTTTAGTGTCACAGCTCTGTGAATAGCTAAAATGATAAAACCATTCTAAAGATTCTGTGCAAGAAATTCCTTTATTTACTTTTTAGATTAGGTGCCGTTTTTTATGTCAGAAAACTCAAAATAACTAATTGAAGTTATATTTTCACATATTTGGAATGAAAATTATGCTACTGCACAAAAATGTGATTCAAGGTATTTCATTTTGACTAAAGAAAATTACGATAACATATAAAAGTCAATAAAATGAAAAACAGTATAAACCACACAATCATCACTATCGTTTACAATTAACTGGTGTCAAGGTGACACAATGAGATAAGATCCCAACTATACTGTTCGAGTTTAGCTCTCTAACTTCGGCATCCAAAGAGGGAATAAGATGAGCGAATTGGCCGGCCTTATCTCTCGAGTCACAGGGCAGGCAGTGACAAGAATGCGCCGTTTTTTACACATGCACATATGGCCAAGCTGCATGGAGCTATGTGTCTTCCAAGCAAGTGTGAACGATCCAATCAAGTCTTGTCAAAATAGATACAAGAGGAAATAAATAAAACAACGCTTGGAATGAACACTAATTACTTAAGAGATTTAGGGATTAGGGAAGAGAGAGACGCAGTTAGCCCAAGAAGCTTTCTTAAGACATTGTGCGGGTAAATCTCTGCAACAGTGTCTGGGATTGCTTGTCCAGCTGGTTGCAGTTTATAAGATAATCCTTTAACTTCCCATCTTTCATATAAGTCGCTTGTGCTCTAAATGTATTGCACTGTCATACAGCGCATTGACTTTGAAGCCACGTGATTGGGGAGGTCTGCTCACCTTAAGCACAGTGATGTTCCAAGCGTAACTCTCCATGGCTTTCTGAAGTTTTCGGCCTTTCAGACCTTCCTTTGCTCCGATGCGATGCAGGTCTTCATGGAAGTCCAGACCTGAAATGGGACAGACAAGTTTCACCTAAAAACAATATCAGAAAAGTCACAAATATCTCCAAAGGACCTATACTCTACCGTGGTGCTTAGAGTTTTTATTTGTTTATTCAATTAATATTTTTTTAAAGAATGGATTAAAGTACATGTAGTACAGACATCAGTTTGTTTTACTACTGGAATAACCACATTAGTATTGTCCTGTTAAGATCTTAAAGGTCTTAGGTAAAGCAGGTTTCAAAGGTGAGGCACCTTTGCCAAGAGATTTGCTAGGAGACATGGGGAAACACAATTACCATTTGTTATACAGTAATAACAGATCAAATAAAATGGGGAGAAAAATTTATATTCAATATTACAGAAGTCATAAAACATGTGGACACCTTCTTTAAAGTGCCAGCATTTTGTGAAAGGTACATTAAGGTCTGGGTCAAAACCTGATTGATATTTGGTACTGTGCATGATTTCATTCTCCTCGATAAAAGTCTAGTTCACACGAAGAAAACTAACCCCAGAGCGTGATCCCTCCGACGCTGTATTTCACTAAAAGTGCAGTGTTATTTTAGCGTTGCACTGTTTTGGTACCAAACTTATGTTTTAAAATGTTGGTCAAAAGTTCCGGCTTAGTTTCGCCAGACCATAAACTATTCTCCCACAAGTTTTTGGGAAGTTTTAGCTGGGCCTGAATGTTTTCTTTGGAAGAAAATGCTTTGACCTTTGAACCCTACTCTTAGTCCAGACATAATGGAGAAATTCTTGCATTTTCTTTAGAGCTACTCCCAACCCCTCAGGAGCCTCCCTGACAAGTTCCCATTTGGCCTTTTTGTATTCATTTTTGGGAAATATTTGATTTTAGAAATGTTACTGTTGCTTAATGTTTCAGCGTGCCACACTATCTGCTGTGGAATATTTTTTTTTTCATAAATCTGATTATTTTGACACATTGTAGCGTCTTGAAACTGTAACATCTGCAAACTATGAATGCCAATTAGCAATTTGGATAAAGTCCTAAAAGGATGGCTGAACTTCAATCAGTAGGCATGAACTTTAATTACAGTTAATCAATGCAACTTAATTTCGCTATAATTAACTGTGAACCTAGGAAGACCGAATGCTGGAATTGTATCAAAAGGTATTGCAATAAAGTAAGGGTGTGCATATTTAAACAGACGGGCTGTTGTGTATTTTTTCTGTGGTGTTCTGTGAGGAATTTGTGGGTTTTCTCTCATAGTTCAAAGATGTTCTTCATCATCGCTTGGTTATTGATTCAGGAGATTTAGGACCAGATCATCCCACGACCCTACAAGAGTTAAGTGAGTACAGAAAATGGATGACCAGATGGATGGATGGATGCCTGGTATTGCTTACACGGCTAAAACTGAAGCGGTACAATGAAGGCGAACCTCTAATTAGGCTTCAGAGTAGGTCAGGTTTTATTGCAACTGAGGCAAACTATTCCTAATCTCCAAAGGGTTTAGCAACAAACTCCCACTAAATCTGCAAGACTCGGCTTGCTTGTCAGTCTGTCCCTGAAAAGATGGCCTTAAGCAACAGAAGCTTTGATTTTCTGAAGAAACAATCCAGGCTTCCACTATAAACTAGAGAATAGCTGTGCGTCTTGAACCATTTCTTTTCAGCACCTCATATTTATAAGTGAGAAGGTATTGCAACTCTTCTGTAAACAAATAGTTTACGCATTTTGGAGAATACCTCAAGCAAATTGAAATTCTTTTCCTACGTAGCAACATAAGTGGATCATCTTCCAGAGGCAGAGCACATAAAAATGTAAAACTACTATGTTTTCAGAGGCTGCTTCTTCATTTTCAATCCACAATGTCGGACTGCTCTTTTTTAATTTTCTAACTACACCAGCAGTGGTGTTACTACAGTATTCTAGCTTAGGAGCCTGAAATTTACATTAACAGGGATAAGGACTGATCTGATTTTATAATCTGCTACAGCTAATGGGCCGCTGCTTGTGCAGAGCTGAGAAAACGGAGAAGGCGAATGCAGCATGGGGCAGAAACCAGCAAGCAGGGAGCTGTAAATGATACGAAATTAGCTGCTGGCGGTTTGTTCCGATATAGCTTCGCAGAGTATTTAATCTGGCAATGATTAAGAGCCATCTCCGTGTAACATTAACACAATTCATGTTCCTTACTGTCACTTTAACACTGGGAAATTCATGCTGTTGTGCAAAGTGTGACCCCCATCGTGTGCAGCAGAAAGACAAGAACTTTTTAGTTTGCTTCCCTAATGGGCACGAGCTGGAGAAGCGGTGCTCAGATGGAAGGACACGGGAGACAACATCTCTGTAGAGCAGCTACACAATTACAGAATATGGCTTACAGTCCTTGAAAATGATAAACATCTTCTAAATTTATAACAAGAAGCGTTCCAAATGCACAAGCAGATCTAAAAAAAAAAAAAAAAAGCACAATTTTAAGTCAGAGAGAGTAAAAGGTGGTAAATAACCAAATAAAACAGGATCTTTAAAGCGGATCCTGTTTCACTGAAAAGAAATGGTAGCTGGTGAAAGGGAGATTTGCACCAGTCAAATCAATGTTTGCTTAATTTATCCCAATTCATACACACTCTAGAGTCCATGTGGAGTGTCATCACTGCAAACACAGAGAGGGATTTTTTTTTTTCTGGCTGTGGATGAGCTAGGAAAACAATGACTCTGCAAAGCCAAAGACGACAAAGGGAATGAGATGTCTATCTTGGATATTCACAGCGAGAAAGCTGTCAAAAACAAAATGAGCAAATACACAGTCGTTAGGCAGAGAAAGCATGCTTGAATGGAAAGGGGACCTAGATAAACATAACAGAGAGCTGATAAAACATGGACTGCATTGATGATACATTTGATTCCAGTTTGAGGTCTGTGCGTCCTTTACAAGCGTTTTCGTCTGTTCATTTTCAGGTATGCCTTTTTTTTTTCTTTTATGATGATTGGTCCAGCCGTGTTTCCCAAATTATCACACTATTCAAGTTTAAAGAAAGAAAACAAAGTCTATTTTGGGGAACATTTAAATATTAATATTTTTTTCTTATAGTTCAGAAAGATTAGATAACAGCACTACTGCATAATGTGTCTTACAAAAACAACAGAATCATATTCCTTGTATGTTTTATGCCCGTTTTTTTTTTTTTTTTATGCAGCAATAACAGACTTCAGTGTTTTCCTCTAGGACAGGCCCAGGAAGGGCAGCATTAATCAGAGTAGCTGCCAAAATGCCCGCAGTATCTCTGGAGGAGTGGCAGAGATCCACAACCCAGGTTTAAGATTCTGCCATCAAAACAACTGTGAGTTTTGGAAATGCTGACTCTTTTAAAAACAGTTTGCGATCCTTAGTTGATTTATTGCATTTTCAAATTATCCATAAAATCTCTGTTTGCATGCATATTTTATCATAATATCAAAGCTAACTTTAAGAACAGTTTGACCTGAATTTATGGTTGTCTAGAATCAAATTCTAATGGTAAATAGTGGTTCATCTAATAATTAATTTCAAAACCAAAATATTGGTAGTAAAATGTTAAAATCAAGGTATGATGTGGAATAAAGGGTATAAGATGTTATTTAAATGTAACTCAAGGCAAATCCAAGAAGAAAAAATATCAGGAAAATCCAGAATTTTTCCAAACTCACCCAGAAAATAATAAAAAAACAATTTATCTTCCTTTTCGGACTTTGAGTTTGTATCACAACTTTGCAAGTGTTAATATAAAGATTTTAAAACAACAGCCTAATCCCCTCACATATGCACTGAATATAGATTTCTAATTACACACAAACACTGAGTGAAATTTACTTTGTGCTAATTTATTTCTTCAATCGAAACTGATTAAATGGTTGAAAAACATAAACACCACACAGAGCAAAAGTGAAAAGAAGAGAGAATCGGGGTTTCCGCATTTAGATTTCCGATATCTGAGCCAACTCAGAGTCTGTGTGCTCAAAAAATATGATGGTAGCATCTGGAGGTGCCAGAGTGCGCATCCCAGCTGTTTTCCTGGTCGCCCATTATCCTCGTGCGTGATGGCGAGCCACCAATAGGGCCCACAGGGGAATCATCTAGCACCTCTCCATTCTCATCAACACATAAGCTTCACTGCCCAAATTAAACTGATTAGCTGCAACAATGACTGTGCATAAACTGAGGGGAGGAAGAAAATGGAAGATGCTGCAGGACATAGCTGAACAAATCCAAACCTGTTCCACGCTGTTGTTTCTGATCTTGCCCAATGCCCTTATTTAAAAAATAACAGGTGACAGTTGAGTGAAATTTCCTTATTTCATATCAAGGCCATCGTTTGTGATTCATGTCTTTGCCACAACAGTATTTAGCCGATGAGCAAAGCACAAGGGCAAAGGCACCGGAGTTTAAATTAAACTAACAAATTCCACCCCGTCGCCACATTCTCTTCCCCAAGACTGACAAGCCGTCCTCTAATAGCACTGCTTTCCGTTTCTCACACAGCCATTAAGCCAAAATTATACCTTTGCCATCTTGAATGATCATAGGGACAAAACCCTTAATTCCATGCAAATCCACCATCTCTTCATATCCCTCTCTCTGCTCGCCTTCCTGTGTTCAGCCAATTACTCCTAATGCTGTCACAGTCTGTACACGTACTTTAAGAGATGGGTTCGAAAGAGGTACATACGGCATCTCAAGAGACGTATTCACTACAAATATCTGTGGGAGGGGTTAAACACAATATTGTCTGTGGATTCTCTGGTTATAAGAGGTTAAGGAATGGCTGTAATTGACTGAAACACAAGCAAAATAAAACAGACATATCAGATGAGGAAAAATCTCAATTTGAGAGATTGGGTCAAATTGTAGAACGAGTGTATTTCATTGGAGCTAATGACTGTTATTGAAAAACTTAAAGGGGCTTACATTTTGCTTCAACTGTTTGTTTACAACAGCTAAAGCAGGTACAGTTACACAAGCAGCATTATTTTAGCTCTTCTAGAGCCTGAATGTTTCTTTTTGTTTTTGTTTGTTACTATTATCCAATTAGCTTAAGTTTAATGAACGAAACTTGTCATAGACTGTAGATTTATTTTATAGGTCCATTGAAATGAGATGTGAATGGAGAGCAGAAGCAACAAGCTGAGAACTACAGTGTTAAAAAAATAGTAACAAACGTGAGTTTCAGATTATAATTAGAACCTCAAATGTTGAGTCATAAAGCAGAAAAAAGATCCTGTAGCATATTTTCTATTGTTGTAGCATCATTAGCACATTGGTGCAAGTGACATGAAAGAAATAAATGTGGAAAACAATAATATTTTATTAGAACAAAGGACATTTAGCTTAATAGGTGATGAAATACGGCGGTCAGGCACAATGTTCTGTTACGCTAAACTTAATTTAATGCTTAAAAAAATGTTATCTTGATTTAATTAATTAATTAATTCGGAAAAGATGTTTGTATTGTACAGGTTCCAAGTGACATGAAAAGCTAAATTTAAGCATTAGCTTCTTTTTGGGACTCCCACATATTCTTCAATTAAAATTTCTTCTTTATTCAATAGTAAAAAGTTTGCTTTGAATTTACGTTGACTATTTCTACAGAGGCATACAAGTACTGAACCTTAAAAAACATGAATAAATAATTTCTTTCTATTTATCCAAACCTGGAAAATCTGTAAATCGAATTCCAAAGTTTTTCGAAAATAAGCAGGAAACCCCGTTCTTTTGAGGCATTCCTTAACGTACATTTTACAAGAAAAAAAAAAAAAGGCACTCTTCCTGGCTGACCTATTGTTATCAAAATGGCAACAAATGTCTGGAAACACTAATAGAAGTACACAGAAGGGATGTAAAGTAGACATAATATTTGCAAAAGGCCATAGTTTGATTTGAGGCATGAGTGTCAGAACCAGGGGCACAGCAGAGAGAGTGGGCGGCAGGGTGAGTGTTATGTTTGGCATGCAGCTGAGGCGCCTGAGAGCTGTCGCTGCTCCCCCTTTGCCTCGGTGTATCATTCTTCTCACTTACAGGAAAAGCTAGCAGCTCTTAATAAAAGAATGTCCAAATTCCCTCCCTTCTCAAGTTGAACCAGAAGTACCAGCTGCATTATCCTACAAGACGCATACAGGTTCCTTTTAGCTGACGGAGGCAATAAGCTGAGCGTTGCTGCGGAGCAACAGAAACAGCTGTGAGTGCGGCTGCGTGCGGTTTAAGCTCTGCTTAACTCTGAAATCATCGCCTTTTAACGTTCTTCCAGCTCCTGGCTGGGGAACCATGGAGCTAAGGGACAGCTCTGTGATTGAAGCGCCAGCGTTCAGCCTACATCCCAGGATAATTACACAGCATGAATATCAGGTTAGCTTATTCTGTTAAAGGGAGAAAGCATATGCCTCATATTGTGTAACATCAGGGAGTAAAGCTTGGCATAAAGGAGGCTTAAAATTTCTTATTTGATTCAGGATGTGGGGTTGAAGTGTGTGACTGAGTCCCAGTTGTTAAGACACAAAACAACAAGGAGTGGAAGGGTATAAAATATAATTAACCAGGTTTACACCAGCTATAACAAAGTATTGAACTGGCCATGATCTGCAGTTCTGTGGCAGACTGTAGCAGCACAATGTTAGGAAAAACATGCAAAATTGAGATGTCACTATTCCAGCTTTGTGCTTCCCATTTAAAGACAGAAGTGAGGCAAATGAGGAGGAGTTGAGCCAAATTCAAAAGAGGCTGGAGAGGACAAGCCACGAAGAATTTCCTGATTTGAAGCCATTTCTCTAATAATGATAATGTCCCGTCTAAATCTGTCCTCTGCGGGATGCCATCTTTTTGTTATTTTTTTAAAATAAAGATGTACTGATTAATGCATGTTTAATTCTGTCCTCTCTCTCCCCAACGGCCCGCAATGTCAAGCCTTTTAATTTCTCTCCTCCTTTCAAAAGATGCTTACGCCTTCTGTCCTTTCTCTCTCTCTCCCCCCCTGCAGCCCTTTTTGTCTGTGCGGCTCACTGATTGTTTTCACCTGCTCACGGCCCATAACTACGCCACGTTGACTCACTGATGATGGCCACTTCTATTGACAGCAGCCACCGATGTTGATGTTGACAGAAATGTTGTGGCGCGGGGGGGAGGGAGCAACGCCATTTCTTTATCTGCAGAACTGCATGCCATGTGACACCCTCTCTATCTTATAACAGGAGAATGAAAAGTTGCTTTCTCATGATATTGAGTTTTAAAGCAAAACAAAGCATATCTGTGAGTGACAAAATCTGATTCATGCCCCCGAATGGTAAGTCAGTCTCATCCCAGCAGCAGAGAAACGTAGCACCTCCTTTTACTTTGAGGAGAAATTACAACGACTCTAGCAGTTTGCTCAAGTCAAGCGGATGCACAAATTCATTTAATTTCCCTTTGGGAAGTATTCTGGAATAGAATTGAATACATTCATGCTGCATACCTGCCCTTTGTGCTTGTGTGAGCTTGGAGTAGACAACATCAGCTGACTCAATCAGGGTTTTGCTGGTTTGGATCATCTAGAAGACAAATAAAAAGGACAAAGTTAATTTCTAGTCCACCTTAATCACTAAAAGTCACTGAAAGAAAACCCATCAGCTGAGCCTCAACCAAAATTATATAATGATAATAACCAGAGAAAGGAAACACGAGAGGAAGAGTTTATATAAAGATGCTAGAAGAGTGAGTTTTATTGTCACAAATTATTTCTAATTGGATCGCCTCATTAGCCAGAGCTCATGCCAGACATATTTTTTTTTTTTTTTTTTTTTTTTTTTTTTTTTTTTTTTTAA